CGCCGCTCCCCGCCACTCAAAACCAAAAAAAAACCCAGAAAAAAACCGCCAAAATGGCCCTCCCCCTCCGACAAAACGAGAAAACTCAAAACAAAGTTTGAATAGTCATCGATTTCCCGCCTTTTTCCCGCCACCAGCCGACCAATGACGCGCGAGGGTGTCTCCCCACTGTCGCTGGTGTCGCGCAGTAGCAAATCGTCTGGCATCTGGCCACACTCGTGGAAAAATAGTCGGATTTTCGTAGTCAACGGGTAGTGAAGTACATTCGACATTCGATTTTTATAGGAAAAATTAAAATATATAAATTAATTATCGTGGAGTCACTGGTGGGGACTATTAAGCTCGGAATTATCACGACATCATGACGCACTGCAGACTCATGCCAATGATTCTATTGTGATATTTGGATTTATTTGTTTGTGAGGTTTTTTTTACGGAATTTTTTTTTTTTCGGAAAAGTGGGGCTGGGGTAACATAACCTATTTATTTTGTGAGAGGGAGTGTTGTTTTATGACACGTAGTGGGGTCTAGGCTGGTGAGTTTTTTGTGTGATTTATTTTTGGGGGTGGGGTGTCTTCCGACCCCATTCGAGGTTGTGAGAGGAAAGAGGGGATTGAGAGGAGTTTTTCAATAAATTTTCCGAGGTTTTACGATTTTTTTTGTTTTTTTGGAATTTTTTTTTTACTTTTGGGGTTTTTCGGGTTTTTGGGGGTTTGAAAATGATTTTTTGGGGGGGATTTTGGGGGTTTTTGGGATGGGAGTCGAAGGGAAATGGTGACTCGACGATTTCCATCGGGTTTTCCACGATTTGGGGAGTGAATTTGGGGTTAGGAGGAGTGAATGAACTTATGTGATGGTTTCTCCACGTTTTCAAGGGGGGGAGAGGGGCGGGGCGACCCCTGGGGGTCACCTAGAGTTGAAGCCAGGTGTTGCCGGGAGTAAACACTTCCAGACGCGTGGATTTTGCTTGGAGTCTCGGATTTTTTCATGAGATTGGGGGATTTTTTTTTCGGTTAATCTAGGGGAGTCAAAGTATTTTTGAGTCGTGTGTAAATTCGTTTGCATTTGAATAAAAAAATTTATGTGCGATTTTTCGATCGCTAGACTCTTAAAAATTTTCTAGAGTAAATCTTCCATCGGGGAGTATTCGATTTAGGGGAGCCTAGGCGTGTGAAAATATTTTCAAGTCACGTAAAAACTTTTCTGGGAGACAATAATGTGTATATTTGTTATTTTGACCCCCCTAGACCCTGAAAAATCCCCTAGATTGAATATTCCCCTGGCCAAAATTCGATTTAGGGGAATCTAGGGGTGTAAAATTATTTTTTGGTCATGTCCAAACTCGGTTGCATTTGAAAATAATTTTTATATATTTTTGTTTGCCGCCTAGACCCTTAAAAATCCCCTAGATTAATTGTTCCGTTGGTGAGTAGGAGATTTAGAGGAATCTAGGGGTTGTGAAAATATTTGTAAGTCACGTGCAAATTTTTTTCCATGAGAAAAAAATTTTTACATGTCTTTCGTCGACCCCCTAGTCATGTTCAAACTTTTTTGCACTTGAAAATAATTTTCACTGATGATTATTCGCCCCCTAGACCCTCAAAACTCCCCTAGATTAAATATTCCCCTGGCGAAGACT